AAAGGTAGATGATTATGACTGGTTAGGTCCTATTGATTGTAGAATCAAACTATAGTATTGAAAGCTGAAGAGCTAGTCTTCTTATCTTTAGGCTTATAGTTATAAGCATAGTCTTATATAGAATTATAGTATACTAGATTATTATAATCTTTTGATGATTTAAATAGTGATCTATAACTAGATTATTATATTTATATAATGATTTTCTAGATTATTATCTTGGCAGAATGATCCTTATCTTCTATCTATATATAATCTTTATTTTTGCCTTATTAGGCTGTCAGCCGCTTATTGTAAGGTGGTCGAACTTCTGGCTATAATATAATGTCCTTCCTTAAGGTCTATATTCTAGAGACCTAGTTTAAATACTTGAGTATTATTCACTTGGTAAGTTTTAAAATCATCTTCCTTACTATTTATAATGCTGACAATATGTTAGGTTATATAAAAAAACCTTAGTCTAAGAAAGTATTATAATATTCTACCCTTATCTTTTTGATTGAGTCTTAAGATTCTAAAATAATATTTTATTCAAATTGTTTTAAACGAAAGCTTATTTATCAGATAAATGATAGTTCTTTTTATTATAGTGAATATATTAAATAAGGCTATTCTTATGATAAAAATAATATAATATCAATATATATAGTTGATTATTTCTTTATAAAAGTATTTATTACTAACATATAATAATAATATATTTAATTATCAAACAAAAATAGCTTAAAGATAAAGAGAAGAAGGTTAAGCTTAAACTTTAAGAGATTATAGCTTACCTAATATATTTATAAAAATAAAGAAAATTATTAGAAGAAAAATATTCTAAGGCTTTTCGTAAGAAAATAATAAAGTTAGATAAGGAGGATAGTATTTATATATAAAAAAAAGCTATCTATATAGAATAATAGTCTGTCAGTTTTATATAGCTTTTTAAAGCTATAGATATAATTGACTAAAATATAATAGACTTTAAGCTTTCTATCCTTTAGAGTTTCTTTAGTAAAAGTTCTTTATAAGTTTTTAAAACTTTGCTAAATTCTTAAATAGTTTTTATATATTTTCTAAGTTGTTATAATCTTACCATTTGATCAAATATTATATTTATCATCCTTTCTTTTATAAATCTAATATCTTTTCTACTTTATATTCTTAGTTTAATTCTACTTTAACGTTTATTTAAAGTTTTATAAATTTATATATTGATTCTAAAAGTAAAATATAAAAAATACTTTATATTCTTATAATTTTAAGTAATAATAGTTTATAATTAGATTTTAATATTTTCTATTTGATTTTAAATAGTCTAAATTTTTTATAGTTTAATTTATTATTTGATTATTTTGTTTTTATATTTTGTTATATAAGGTAAACTTTATCTCCTTTTTTAAAAAAATGATTCTTTTATTTTTTAAAGATTATAATACTTTAATATTTATTCTTTAATGAATATTAATTAGTTTCTTATTTCCTAATAAAGCTATTAAAGCTATTTTATTATAAGTATTACTTTTTCTAACTTTAATTCTATTTTAGTTAGATAGCTAAGTTTTAGGTTGAATTTATAGTTTATATAAAATAATGATATTCTTATTAATTTACTGATTAATATATTATAACTAAATTAAACTATTGATAATAATATAATCTAATTATTTTATTTATAGTTAATATAATATTAAAAATATTATTTGATAATTTAATTTAGTCTTTTTATTTATCTATCAATTCTAAAATATTAAGCTATAGATAGTTTATAGTTTATCTTAAATTATATTATAAATAATTGTTAGAATTTTAATATAAATAGTTTATCTTAATTTAAAATTATTTCTTTTAATAATCTATAATTAACTATAACTATCTATAAGAATATATATATTAGTTTTTTAATATTACTTTCTTTCTTATATAAAATAAAGTATATATACTTTATAAGTCTATTAATAATTATAAAAATACTATTATATTTAACTTTTATTAATGATTCTTTCGACTAAAAGAGCTTTATTATAAAGTTTTATAAGATTGATTCTTATAGTTATTATATAATCGATAGAGATTATAACTTTTTATATAGTTTATATCTATTATTTTTATTTTATTTATAAATATTATATTTATCTAATATTTTTTTAACTTTATTTTTTATATATAGAAAGTTATATTTTCTTTATATTTATTTAAAAATTTTTATTACTTTTATATATTTAAATTCTATTAGTTTATAATATACTTTGATAAATTCTTCTTATAATTCTAATAATATATATATATTCCTTTTATACTTATATTATTTTTATTTTATATTATTAGTTTATATTAATCTTAAGAAAACTTATATATTATATTTATACTTTAGCTATCTATATACTTCTTTAAGTTTTCTTTTTTAAATATTGTTTGGTTTTATTTTTAAGAATATATTGATTTATTTTTTTGCTTATATTAAGGTTTTATCTAGATTTATTATTAAAATAGCTTATATTTCTTTTAATATTTTCTGATAATAGTCTATTTATTAGCTTAAAGTATTTATTCTATCGTTTTTTGATTTTTTTTAGTAGATAATTTAAAAGTTAAATTCTAATAATTTTTCTATTTATCTTATCTATCTTTTATTAAATTCTTTTATAATTATAAAATAAATAAGATTCTTATAGTTAGTATAGATAAATACTTTATAAAAAGTTCTAGATAGATACTATCTTTATTTTTTAAATATTTTTATTATAATTATTAACTTTTTATTATAAATCTAATAATTTAATTCTAAACTATATAATTTTTTTAAAAAGAATATTATAAAGTATAATCAATATTTATTATCTTTTTATTTTAACTATCTTTTAAGTATAAAATCTAAAGTATTTGTTTTTACTTTATATTATCTTATTAAGTTAAGGTTTTATAAGATTAGTTTAGATAATACTTACTACTTTAGTATATTAAATATAATTTATACTTTATTATCCTACTAAAAGACTCTATCTTTCTTTATAAAGTCTATAAATAATATAACGATTTTATTATAGTCTTTGATAAATTTTTAGTAAAAATTGAAAAATCTTAAAAATCTTCTAACTTTCTTAACTATAGTTAGTTTTAACTATTTTTAAATAGTTTAGATTTTACTTTCTTATATACTAATTTATTTTAACTTTATTATATAGCTAAGGAAATTAACTTTTATAATATAAAATATACTTTTCTTAGAATTTATTAATAAGTTAGCTTTTTATAGCTTTAATAGTATTTAGTATATATATATTTGATACTATTTAAATATCCTTAAATATATTAAAAT